TTGAGTTCCTCCGAATTATAATCTTATATAATGCCTGCAGTTTGTGATGAAAACTTTGCACTATCCTTGGATCCCTAGTTTAAATTGAATTTCAGCACTTTAGGAAGCAACTAAAGTCATGCATTCAGCACCTCATGGATTTTTCCTATTTTCTTTGTAGGAAACTCTCTTGGGAATTCAACATTTTCTATCTAAAACTCAATTTTTAGAAATGCCCATGCATTTAAGTTTTCAAACTACCCATTTACTAATTAGAACTGGCGGCCATTTTGGAAAATGGGAGTCCTAAGGAAGTCCCAATAGGAATAGTTATTGTTCATACATCATAAGGTATTGGTTTGAAATGCTTTGTGTTAAAAAAGAGTTCCGTTAGGAAATTAAAGTATTTTTTTTATAAAACCTTCATGTCTTTACCCAAAGACGTATTTTGTTGGAATCGTGTTTAGTAAACATTAATTTAGTAAACAGAATTACAACGATTGTCAAACGCTGGATATTTTATACTTACATCAACACGTTTGTGTGGCAGTAACGTAAAGTCCCTTCAATCTGTGCTTAGTCGGAAGAATATCAAGAATATCTCAATCTCATTCCATCGCAGTAATCACAGACGGTCTTGCTTTGCAACTCCTATAAAATACGAACAGAAATAATAACTTAATCAATAAGGCTCTTCGAATTCTTCAATTCTCTATGTTTCTACTCGACCATTAATTTTTGCAAATCTTATTGGCAGTACAGTTGGCATTCGCGTATTACCATTTATTTATCTGTACCGTAAGGTAATTCATAGGGCGCTAAAGAGGCCTAGGGATTGGCACAAAGTGTCATCATACAGGAACATAAAAACGTCCTCACCATTGCCGTCCTGTTATGATGGCAATGTTATCTCAATATAGCCAAAATTTTACCTTTTAACTCATATGGCAAAGCTGGCAAAATGTTCTAAAAGATTCTTTAGACAACAGACATTGATAAACTACTTGAATTATTTAAACGTTTTTTTAATTTCTTATTCTTATTTAAATTTCTGTTAACCAGAAAAATGGCGAGAAAAATGCGTCGAAATTCGGCCATAGTTAAACATATTTGTCACCTTGGTAACACTCATGATGTAATTTTTCCTAATAGTTTTCGACTCTCAGATTGTTATTCAATACATGTGGCATAAAAAACGCATCCTTTATTATTTTCACCTTTAATTGGGTTTTTCTGTAGTAATGAGACGAAGTTTGAAAATTGAGAATCTTAGAATAATGTTCGAGTACACCTACACCTTTCCTAAACACACGCCCAATTTTCTAATCTACCCGCTATTTCTTTCGACTAACGTGAGAGAGTGGTGTTTCGCCTGTGAACATTTTTTTCGTGATTATGCAAGCAGTAAATGCCGAACGGATATGCAAGGGGATTAAATGCAGAATGAGTGAAGATAAAGCGTGGAACGGAAGGGGATAAACGCAGTGAACAGATATAGGGATAAACACGAAATGGATATGGGGATAAAACGCATAATTTCAAACTGTAACTGGGAATGGTTTTTGTCGCCTTTAATAATCCATCCTTGTCTTCACTCTTAATTGATTTACCATAATAATCCATTCTTGTCTTCACTCCGGCTTAATTATTTACAACATGTCATACTGTAACTATTTCAACAACGTCGACACAAAGGTTTAAATAAGACATGAGATGTAGAAAAATATAGGGTGTTTCAGAAACAAACACAGCGAATGATAAGTCATGATGTATCAGAAACAAACACAACCAATGATAAGTCATATAACATAGAGTGTATCAAAGACAAACACAGCCAAAGGTGAGTCGTAAAACATATGGTGTATCATAATAACTGTTATATTCTTGATGTTTCCCAAAATATGTAAAGATTTCCAGTATTCCCTTTTGTGGTATTGCATGGACATTCAGGTAGATTAAAAACAAGATTATTTCTAAAGCTGGTGGTCTATCCGTGTCTAATATTGCGGAAAAAAATAATGCTAAAAATGCTAAAATACTAATTGAAATCGATCAAGAGGATCCGGCAAAATAGGCTCAAATAGTAAAAAATCATAGTGGTGCTTAGGTGTGCGAATTCGCATGTATCTCAAACGAAAATTTTGACAGCATGCTGGAATAAGGTTTTTGTTGGTGCCAAGAACAACAAGGCAATCTTCAGACAAAAAATTAGGTTTAGAAATAGTTTCGTTCCTGCCGGATGTACAATTACCTAACTGACTACTAGGTGATGGCTGAACGGTTTCGCAAACCTCTAAGGGCTTGTTAAGAAATATTTCAAAATGTACACGTTTTACCTTTTACTTTTTATTTATTTGTTTTTCAAATAATATGCATTCAGTCTATATTGCGTAACAGATACGTTGAAATGCACCAAATGTAAACGACGCGGACGTGAGGAAATACTGCTGTTACCGTTCCACATGCAGTTTCACGGCAAAGTCAAGGCCGTATGTAAAACAGATTAAAGCTGGGTACTACAGGCTGTTTTCATGTCACGTTTACGTCGTAGAGAGCATTTGTCAAAAATACTAAAGATACAAGGCGATTGCCTAACAATTCACGTGGGTGCATGACACTACAAGGTGAGGTGTATTAGTTAATGGTTAGTGTGGAGTGTATGAAATAAGATAGTCCCACTTTTATTTTTTCGGTATTGAAATTAGAATGATCTGCATGCAAAATACCCTTTAGGAACCAATAAGATACAAGGAAAACCATACCCCGAAAAATGACCCAAGATATATGAGCTATAGACAACAAGCCAGAATTCTGGTTGTCATGTTTTGGAATATGTGTTTTATCAAATTGTCTGCTGGTAATGATTTTTGAACCAATATGGGATGGTTGGTTTTTATTTTGTCGTAATTGTGGTGAACAAGTAATTTTCACCAATCAATATGAACTAGTCCGAAATAGAAATGTAGAATTTGTCTTCATTCTCTGTATGTATAAATTATCATTGATTCATTGTTCGCTGCATTCTGATTCATCAACCAACTACGACAAAATGAAAACCTGCCTTCCTAATACGTTGGTTTGATGTTTGAAAGACTCCGTGAAACTATCCATTCAAGCTGGAGTCTCTCCGATATTCAAATCTGGAAACTGAGAGGAGTGTTTTAATTATAGACCCATAAGTATTTTATCTACCGTTTCCAAAATATTTGAAAAAATTGTATTTGAACAGTTAAGTCAATATCTTTCTATCAATAACGTTTTAACAGAATTTCAGTCAGGTTTCAGAAAACGTTACCCTACTTGTTCTTCTTTACTAAGAACAGCAAATCAATCGGTTGTTAACATGCATGCATGGATAAAGGTTTAATAAATGGTGTTGTCTTCAGTCTAGATCTAAAGGCTTTTGACACGGTAGATCACAATATATTGATAAAAAAACTGGAATTTTATGGCATTAAAAAATAGTGCCCTTCGCTGGTTCATCTCATATCTAAGTTATAGAAAACAGGTATGCAAAGTGAGGGTGTCTGTTTCAAAAAGTTAAGAGGTAAAAACAGGCGTGCCGCAGGGGTCAAATCTTGGTCCTCTCCTTTCTTACTTTATATAAATGATTTACCAAATTTTCTTGATTCTTTGGTAACAGCACTTTTTGATGATGATACTAATATTACAATTAGTGGCGTTACCCTAAGTGAGATTGAAGATAAGTTAGAAAGGGAACTGAATAAAGTTCATATGTGGCTTTTAGCCAACAAATTGACTTTAAACATTAGCAAAACTGAGTATATGCTTATTGAACCAAGACAAAGGTTGTCCTAAGTTATTGCTCATCCAATCTTATCAATGGGATCTGAGGGTATTAACCGTGTTTCATCCACTAAAACACTACGTGTGGTAGTAGATGAAAGCATCACCTGGAAAGACCATGTTGATAAAGTGACGAAAAAAGCTGCAAAAGGGATAGGAATGTTGCGTAAATCTAAATACTTATTCGATAAAGATACGCTTAAAACCATTTATAATTCTTCAGTTTTACCTCATTTTGATTATTGTACGCTGGTATGGAATAATTGTTCCAAAACCTTGCAAACAAAAACTGCAAAAGCTTCAAAACAAAGCTGGTCGAATAATTACAGGTGATTGCTACAGAACTCCTTCAGGTATTGTTAGAACTAAGCTTTCATGGGACACCCTAGAGGCTAGGAGAAAGAATCAGTTGCAAAATTTAATGACACCAATAATGAAAGGTAATTCAGATAATTACCTCCGTGACCTTTTTACGATCCGTACCAACCAAACGTATGAATTGAGAAGTAGCAAGAATGCTCTCCACTTGCCTAAGTTAAACAGCAATGCTTTAAAACGAAGTTTTACTTATACAGGGGCTGCAACTTGGAACAATATCGGAAAGAGAAAATAGAAATCTTAATGATGTTAAATCTTAAATCTTAATGAGATGCTACCGTGTATAAATATTTGTAAATGAATAAATAAATAAATAAATAATTATAAATAAATATTTTTGACGTTCATATTGACTCCAGTTGTTACGCTAGTTTTCCATTTTTTTCCGACTTATGCTTTCGTGAACTTTTAAAAACGGTTCAATTCCCTCCAACACCCCGTTCTGCATTTGTTCCCATTCGTTCCGCCACTACCCACATCCGTTCCGCAACTTATTTTTGGATAACAAGCGAAGTTACTTATATGATCACAGCTATTTTTGTGAAAAAAACAATTTTTTTTGCGGAAGTGGTTTTGTCTGTAGACTCAATACCCATGGTGAGCTGTAACAAAGCATGCGTTAAATTTCCTAGGATGGTGAAATCAGGAATTCTTTAAAATTCCAAGGAAACTAAATCTCCTGTGCCTAAAGATCAGATGAATAATAGGTGATATTCACGATATTAATAAAGCAATTGAACGGTTAGAGTAATGCATAGCGCAAAAGCCAGTTAAGCGTGTTTAATGGCTTGAAATTTAATGAACATGCCACTTAACTGGCACTGGTGCATGGACAATGACACCTAGTGCATGCGTAATGCATGGTCATAAACTTTAAAAGTTTCTTTACGATATCTATAGGGCTCCTATACATTTATTCGTTGTACTCTGTACACAACCAGCACACTGTATAACGCTAACAAATCGTCAAGGAAAGGAATTTACAATGTGCATGCGATGTAGATTGTTATGCCTTATGGACTCCAATGGTAATACAGACTTGCTCGAAGAATCGCGAGGAAAACAAGCCGTGCTCTGCCAAATTAAAGTAAGTGTGAGACTGAGTTTATTTGCTGTTATATACTTCGTGCTGATTCACAGTCGTTACTTTAACCTTATAAAAGCATAACAAGCTGTATAAAAGACAAGTAACTAGCCTTGAATTTCAAATCAAGTAACTTTAACGTATATAAGCTAGCACACGGCGTGTAGTTCCTTTCTAAAAATAAGTGCACTTAATAAATATAGCCGCTACTTTATAGTCGTTACTTTAACCTTATAAAAGCATAACATGCTGTATAAAGGACAAATGACTAGCCTTGAATTTCAAATCAAGTAACTTTAACGTATACATAGCTAACACACGGCGTGTAGTTCCTTTCTAAAAATAAGTGCACTTAATAAATATAGCCGCTTTATATTTCTACGCCTTGTCGGTACATTCAATAGAACTTGTGCCAGATTATTTTTAGCGTCTCTTTCATCAGGGCGATATCCATTATACCACAACGTGGTTACAACGGATTATTTCAAAAGAACTTTAAACTGTTTGATGAGTGTGCAGAGTACTGAGTACGCTGATGATCATCTCAAATTTAAGCAGTTGGCTGTCGGCAGTATAATTAAAGATAAACTTTTGCCAGCGGATATAAATTTTTATTATAGAGAACAATACGGAGCCACTAAGTTCGCGAAATTTCGCCTCACACGATTACTTAGTTTTCTAATCTATTGAACTTGTCTTGAATGCAACTTTAATATCCTGTTACAGCTCACCTGAAAGGGATTTATAGCTACAGACACTGTAGGCATGCAGGCTTCAAAAGGCTAAGGGGCAAGTAGAAATAAATCATTATAAAAGTAGCTTAAAAAGCAGATTAAACGTGGCATGGGATTTAGTACGAACTATTTCAAAAATACTTAAAGGATATCATAGTTCAGTAATAATAGGAAGGTCGATCGTCGATGTTAGCTGTGATGTTAGTTACCGCGATGCATTAATTGCTATATCAGTACTATTGGCAAATAAGTCCTTTTTTGCAAATACGATTTCACTACAATATTAAAAAACTGCGATCTCTCAAAAAAGTATTTACGAGAGTTGCCGATGATTTATAAATGTTGTAGCATTATAGGCCAATATAGCTAATGTTTGTTGATATATTATACACATTTTACTACCCTGGTTGCTTATACATGCATGCATGCATGCATATAGTTATTCTCGTTCCTTTAAGGTCTGTTCACACGATCCAATGTTTTTTTATAGTGCATGTGTTGACTTGCAATGTATATGGGCAGCAAACCACTAAATCAATGCAGTACTGTTTTTATTAATAACAAACCACATTCCATACGTCAGAAGTGATTTGGATCCTACAAAGTTGGATCGTGTGAACCGGGCCTTAGGTATTATATTATATAGGGCAAAGCAACTGAGCAATTTGAACTATCGAAGTAAACCGAAAACTCTTTAATTCGCATAAGTCTCTGCTTATAAACCATTGTTCAATTCTATATGCTTCCATAAACTGGGACAAAAGTAACTATAGGCACATGAGTGCAATTTTGTGAATCAAACAACGTTGGTCGACCGAAACACGTATATTATGTCTATTCAGATATGTTTCCACTTGGGTCGTAAAATTGGGAAGGAATGATAAAATTACTCACTTTGGTTTCCGCAGACAAGAATACGTGTAGGTCAAAATTTTCAGGGGTGACATGTGTGGGTGGTAAGTGGAACTATAAGAGCACCATGCAGTGTGCGCTAGGTTGTCGAAGCATACACTGAATTAGTCGCACGGGTATTGCAATGCTATTTGATAAAATTATTAAATTGTATTGGGTAGACATTTTTTACACACACAGCATTCCCGTTTGCCTTCTCTTGAATGTTCTACGCGTGAACAAAAAGACATGTCGGTTACACCTGAACCGGAAATGCCTGATTAGAAATTCAACAGTTCACTGACAAAGATGAATCGACGAATTGTCCAACATTGCCTTAAAAGTTTATCGCGGTTTTTGCCTCATAATCATAAATTTTCGCGCATATAGACAGGTAATTTTTTTTACAGCCACCAAACGTCGCCCATTGTGCGTTCCCTATGGACTTAGGTTAACAAGTTCAAGTTTAGATGGCAACCTTGCGTAAGATGGCAACCTCTGTAAGATGGCAACCTCTTCATATTCTCTATCTCTGTTCCGCATACGCATTTGCATCTACGTCAATATCGGTTAAAATGGTTCACGCTAGTTGTCACGTAGCCAGGACTGAAGCTATGAATGCTTTTCTGGCTTGCTGGCAGGGCGTATATTCATATACTCGTGCACATATAAGGTAAAAGCAGGCGCTTTCGAAATAGATCAACCGGGCATACGACGAAGAAGTGCACCCTCCCGATTCCGCATCGATATTTCCCAGCCAGTGGCATATAAAGCTAAGGGAACTCAAAGCAAACTAAAAGCTTTTTTTGGTTAAAGCATTTTGAACTTGAAGCATTAATTGATTCGTTAATTAATATACTCAAGTGCGCGGGAATTCGGTGTTCAAAATGCATTATGCATTCAAGTATGTTTTTAGTTTGGGGTATTTTTAGGTCAAATTGACGTCTGTGCACCCTTTTAACGACAATTTTGTCAGAATGCCCTCAGTATAAGTATACAATTCAATTTTTACTCCTCAACAGTTAATTGCTTTTGATGTTCTGGAAAGCGTCTCAAGCGGTTTCAAACAATGCCTGGTTTCCATAAAGTTGTAAGTGTCGTGAACATGTCAAGGAGGGCGATGTGATGGAATATTTCTATGTGTGTGCAGTCAACAACGACCGATTTCAATACAGAAATAAAAAAAATTACAACCGGACTATTTTAATTTTTCATCAGTGAAAAGGCTCGTTCACGACAATTACGATTTAACTGCATGAAACCAGCCTTCTTTAAGAAGCATTAAAGGATTTGCTTTAGGTGCAAAACACCTAAATATGTTTCCACTATCAAAAAACCTGTTTATTTCATATTCATGCATGTATTTTATTGTCTATTGTCTTATGCATGCAGTATTTTCCTCAGTGCAAGCCCTCGTATGCCCGCGAGTGAGATGTTTCTTTGACAACAGGAAAATAGTTATTGATTTGTCTGGTTTTGGTCCCTGTCTGCTTATTGGTTACTGTGTATCACGTGTTTTGAAGCTGTACAAATTTATATATATATACATATATAAATTTTCAAACGAGCTTTCCAGCCTTTCTCCTATATATTCAGGAGATGAACTAGCTTGTCTGTTTTAAAAAGAAAACAGCTCTATATCTGGGAAGTGTTGTAATAAATTAAAAACGCTGTCATTAACAATTGAAAACAGTTGATTTTTATACTTTTATATATATACATCTACATCAGTTATACGCCTGATTAGTTTAATTCGGTCTGAAGAAAACTAATTATTGAGCGAGCTCAAGTACAAGGGACGCACCTCAAACAATATTATACTAGCAGTAATCACAGATTAGTGATGTGCGTTCGGAATGTGTTGATTTCGGTCAACGATCATTAACAAAATGTTAACATTAAACGTCACAGGCTCACAGCGTATGTGATTCAAAAGGTTACTCGCAAAATGAGCAACATACTGATGAGTAATTAACAACAAAAATGTCAAAGTAGAGCGAGCACATGGTCTCCAGTTGCTATGACGACACATCAGAACGAGGCAAATCTGATATCGCAAATCTCGATACGACACGGCTAGGAAGCGTTCTCCTTCGTCGAACGCAATTAGAAGGACGACCGATTTCTAAATTATTTACATTTGGAAGCGAAGTGTAATCTAGCCTATATTGAAGAGGTAATCTAGCTGTAATCAGTAAAGGCCGATTTCCACTTACAGCGAAATCGTTCGCCAGCGAAATATTTGTATGTTTTCTTTTGAATTTTAACAGCATAAATAAATTAGTTCGACTGGACTGTTCTCAATTCAAAAGAAAATATGCAAATATTTCGCTAGCGAACGATTTCGCTGTAAGTGGAAATCCGCCTTAAAACTACATTTTTCGCGGTTTTTCAGTCATTTGCGACCAACAAATCTTTTCGCCTTTTACTTAGACATCGATTCCTGGGGCAATACAGCAGTTTATGTTGTTGGGTGGGAGAACAGAATTTTACGAAGCGGTACTATGGTTGGCCTTTAAAAAAAAACGTTTGAAGGATATCGTCTCCAGGTCGTTGTGAATGGTATATTTCGAGCTTATAGCGTATCTCTTTTTATGTATTTTAACTGTAGAGCAGACCATGCATGCAATAGTGTAAGTATCCTCCTTGTATTTTGCAACTTCTTGCCCATGGCTGATAAATCGCAGCAGTTTGAATTCATCTTTGTATAAAAAAACGAGGTTTATCATAATTTCGATATATTCAATAGAAATATATTTCTATATAGCCAAACAAGTTAATACATAGTTAAGTATCTCTCCGTGTTCTAAATTCTCTCATTTTATACATGAATTATACAGTAGACAGGGAATTCGTACACAACGTATTCTAATCTACGTTCGATATGGATGCCTGGAATTATTTACAATTATATATGTTCTGGACACTGTGGTTATTGCAAATGTCAATTGGAATGGAATCCTGTCAAATTTGCCTGGCATTTTACTGGCGCCATACGCACTAAAATCCGTCCTATTCAAATCACATTGTTCGCTCGTTTTGCGTGACTCCTTTGGGTTACATTCAAATAGTTTTTTAATTGTGATTGTTTTTAGATTAAACAATCTTCATGTAGTTGTGCCAATCCTCAGGTCGACGAGCAAGGACGACAAGCACACTTTTTCACAGCCTGCAGTGTAACTTCATGCCTGGGTGAGTTGCACAGGACCACTGTGTTTAATTTTAGCTTATATTTGGTTGGTGTGCAACAGGTGCATGTTTTCTTCAAGTTAGTTCCTCTTATGCGCGGCAATGTTTCGGATGGACAGCGCCCTTTGCATCCCTTCGTGGTGACTGACTGTAGTCCACATCCTTTTGTCGGAAACTTTATTATTACATCTGTTGGCTTACACACCTGAATTGATTTGTCAACAGTTAAACACAGGATGATGACCAACGAGGCAACGATATTCTTCATCTTTGACTAGAATTTAAGGAGAAATGGGTAAATCTTTAGCTTTGAGTGAAGGGCATTTAAGTTAAAATTGAATTAAGTGAACTGCAGTGTATACAATTTTGCCAATTTTTTGCCTATTGCGTAAAAATCATAAACTTAATTGTTTAATGCAACGTTGATAAAGAAAGGCTTGCACTTATTTTATTCACGATGGGTTTCAACTCGCTACAATATTACTCAGCGATCTCACAATCAATTCGAGATGAGCAATATTGCTCAATGCTGTTAAAAATAAGTCGAGAGCACAGTTTTGTTGCAGCCTGCTGTACAAGTTCGATATTTTGAGGTGTGCAGTCAGTACAGTTAGTATCATACATTATATAGCTATAATGGATAAATTGGGCCGCGTATATAGTGTGGCATGGTTGGAGCGGCTCGATTCTACCGTTAAGGAGTATAAAAGGTCAATACATGTATGCATGTATATGAAAGTTCGACCCTAATTGTAGTTAGAAGACCATTTACGGCATAACCGCTTTTTTTTCGCAGAAACTTCAAATATATACAGACAGGAATCTTTTACGAACAGCATAGTAATTGTAGTTTTACGCGGCGATATTTACAATATCCACAAATATTCGATTGAGTATGCACCACGTATGGGAATTGTCTGACGAAGAGATCAATAACGGGGAAAAGCCACTGAATTATACGTGGCGTTTTGCACTCTTTGATGTTTATCTCGCCTCCATTTGTATTGCACCCACTTGCTCATGCATCATGCAGATACGACAAAAAATTTTCAACCGAAATGTGTGTTGGTATTATAGCTACGAGTACTAGTGCATGTTGACTGAAAAGTAATTTTCGCACGACTCAGTTTTTCTTACGACGAAACTGAGGAGTGTAAGCTATAGAATGAACTGTTTTAGATGATAATATACAAAACACATTCAATTCTGTATCGCTCAGGGCTACTGTATAATTAGAGTTCAGCGTTCTACATTATCGTATGTTACGTCCGAGAAACGCGCGGACAGGTATGGCGTAGGAGGAAAAGGAGTTTGGAATATGAGTTTTTATTGCTAGACTATTTCAGGCTAACCCCATCTGTTGATGCGTGCTTTTCAAAATTTGTAATATCGATGCAATAAGTGCGAGATATTGATCAGAGGGCCATTAAACTCGGGATGTTTAAAAGCGCCTTGATATTGATGTTCAGAAATGCAAGTATATACATATATATCATATATAAGCATTCATTAGCAAGCGCGTCTCGTAACACATGCAAATACAATTACATTTGGTTTCATATAAAGCGTAGGTTAAACAAATACAAAGTAACAACAGTTATAAACAGCACTGCGTTACACAATTTTATGTATAATTATGTGGGTGTTTGAGGACTATAGAGAGTATACTAATTATACACTTCTGACTTACAACAAATCCAATGACCGCTGGCAATTAGAAGGTTAACTGTCGCAATAAGTAATATTATTCAGCATAAACGTTATATGATTACAACCAGGAGTGCGCTAATCGTTCGTATCAATATCCGCATACATCATAGATGGCTAATTCGACAGTGTTACTTCTCTATTACCGAGACCGACTATAACCTGACCAGAGTTTATTCACTTCGGTGTGTAGCAGCGTGCGCGTACTAAACTTTTCCTAGATTAACGGAGGTAGAACAGATTCTAGATCCTCCCTCCGTTTATAGTTACAAGTTAAGATGAAAGTCATACATTCAAAATCGCACGTAATATTTTATAAACTTGGCTATAACTGGCTACTGAGAAACCATAATTTACAGGCTGTAGTGATATTCACTTCTATCGCTAGCAATGTAATCGTTTAAAAGCATAAGCTTCATATAGTTAGTCGATGTTTACCTTTCTTCAATTGCACGTCGAGATGTACCTTTGTAAAATCTCTTGCAAACTTTGCGGCTGTTGCGATGATATTCACGGTAAGAGGACCAACCCCAACTGATTGTGTTTCTCACAAAACAGCTAGGACAGTGCATTTAAATATCTTAGCGAGTATCAATCAAATTGAATGCTTCGCTTCAATTTGACGTTTTGTATTTGCAGCTAATTAGGCAGAATTATTGTTAAATTATATAATCTCTTATTTCCCAGGCTTTCCCACTCAGGATAAGATAAACTCGTATATCGTCAGACTTATCTCTCTGTCCGCTAAAATTTCGTATTCCCATCCATCATCTGTACTGAGTCGCGATACGATCTAGTTATCATCGACTCAGACAAACACGCGGGGTATATTTAACGCGCTTTCCTATCCAAAAACAGGGCTTAACAAGGCGTTAAACAGCACGAGGTGCGTAGGAGTCTGACAAGCCCTAACTTTTTACAATAGCTCACTAAGAAGTCTTTCCTTTGTTGTTTGTGTGTTTTTGAATAGGAATACAGCCTTGTCCAAATAAGATAAAGAGTTTATACAACAATACGCGTTGGCGACCCCATGCAGTTGGTGTTTGATTTTTTTTTGGTTAGCTATAGAATAGCATTTGAACCAAACGTTTTAAATCTAATGCTGGCAGATTTAAAATGATCCGCGATGATTCAATTTACTCGCTATTTTATAGGCTTACGAAATGATACATGCAGTTACAGTATATTTCGCAGATGCACATACGAGCAAACTGATGTGCACGAGATGCCATAATATGAATACTCGTAGTATAACATCACGTCTATCATATTCATATACATGCAGTAGCTATATATATACTGGTATAAAGTATGAAATGTATACACTATATAGTATAGCTGTGCGCATGTGCAAATTGTGGAAAATAACATTGAAAGATATACGTTCGTGTATTCGTGCCTAAATCCCGTCAGTGTTTTCCAAGTTTTAAACCTCGCTGATAAAACGCGGCAGATAACCATAGTATTATTTATTTATCTACTTATTCGCCAAAGTTACAATAATCGAAATGAGAGTTTGTACAAGCAAAGATATCTAGAACCAAGAACGTTCTGGAAACCATAATGCTTTTGTTCAATTCCTATCAGTTTAATAGGTTTTAAATTGAAGTAATTAACATTTGGTGCCATATGGGCTTAAGCTCCTATCAAGAAAAGTGATAAAGTATTTTTTTTTAAACTTTCAGAATACTAAATAGCCAGATACGATCCAATTAGAACCACTAACCATTCAATCTTGCAAAATTTTGGAAAATCAGTATTCGCGATAGTTTGAAACCGTACAAATATTGCTGTTTAATTTTTTTCAAATTGTTTGCGAACATGCGGTCAGAAACTATATAGCTTTGGTTTCAATTGAACGTCTCCGAAATTCGCGTCTTTTTTATGCAGCGCGGCATAAAATTCTGCTGAATGGGAATTCCAGTTAAATTCCACGACTGAAATTTGACAAAATCTACGAATTCAAAATGTCTTTCCTGATCGATACTATTGAAAGGCAAAGCTACTAAAATATGCTAAACGCCACCAATGCATTAAACCATGCAATGCAGACGAGAGACGTGACTCACGATGCAGCTGAGATAATATATTTTGTCATTCGTCGGTGTCAAACTCCCAAATGGGTTTCAAGTGCTTCACGAATATTCAGCAAAATCGTCTATTGAAATTGCTTGCTAATACATCTATTAATTCATTATAGATTTACTGGAAAATGCTTTAATTCAATTATGTAATTAAAGTGAAAGAGAGAGTTTGTAAGTTATATTGGGCAAAAATCAAATGATATCAATGCCAGATAACATACATTTGATATAGAAATAGTTCATTCCATACCTACTGTCCGTGCAACCTAATGCTCGCACGAAAAAAGAGTGCAGCATTCCCAATATCTTATACACTTCTAGTATCTTAGAAGCCATCACTCTTTTATCGAAATATAGCTGTAGTAAACGTTAATAGGGTAAACAAAACAGTTCAAACATAAAAACGTCATTGCGATGACAGTTTTAGTACATAATTTTTCCTGCAAGTTTTTTCTTGTCCGTCAAGATGGTCCGATAATACCAGGAAGACCTCTAATCGCTGTGCTCTTCCGACATATTTTGCGTGGGTTTGTGTGCTCTACACTTATGTTGAAATATTCTACATGAGTTTTGATCTAGTATTTTATGTGTATGCAATGAATACTGAGTAGGCGGTACAAGGTCATTGAAAATATCACGACCGTGAAAGAAACTTGTACGTTTGTCGCTGGTATACTGATCGGCCATGCTGACATATGCTATCGCAATAATCACTTCCTTAAAGTGTTTATTGTTCGTTTATTAGCGTAGACGCCACGGCAAGTTTTATCTGATCTCAATACTTATATTATCAGAAATTTATAGTGCAATTGACATGCGAGATTCATAAAGGACTCCAAAATCGACGCCGTTTTATGAAAAGTGTGTTTTTCCAAAAGTTACGACACGATACCGATCATCGTTCTTGGTTTTAATAAGACACGCAGACAGGTTGTTAACGTTCGGTCTAGCATCTACAATAGCACTTCGGGTCAGTGACATCCAACTGCTGATATACATGCATAATAAGCTGATAATAACTGAGATTGAGGATTTTCAAAATATCGTTGATATATTCTTGCATCTAATAATCTTCCTTTGTAATGTGCAGATGTAATTTGTCTAGAGTGTAATAATTCTCGAACCATCCACAGACGTTCGTATTAAGACTTCGCGCGTATACCGTCATACATTGCGAAATTTTTCCCGTGATCAGTATTACATTTCGCATTTCAGGCAATTCGTTTGCGAATTGGCTCATGCAACTTTTTTCAGACCGACCAAAAGGTATATCGAAAAACGCGAAATCAAATCCGATTGACAGTAATGTATCTGGTATATCAGGGATGTATGTTGGTAGACCGTAGTCTTTCTCATAATAAATTATATACGGGCTCAATCTGTTTTACAATTGTCACACCCAATCAGATCAATTTTTTATAATGTGATACTCGTGCAAGAAAAAGTGAGATTCGGCTGCCAAAAAGGTAATTGACTATGTAAT